GAGGGGGGAGAAACACGGGGTGGGAAGGAGAGTCCCCTCCCACTCTGGAACCGAGCGAAAGCTAGTAACAGAACTGTAACACCGCTACTTAAAGTTACTTTAGGCTTTGGTTTTAGCTTTAGACCCGGACTTTTGCAGCAGTGGTGCTTGGAGGGAGCGAAAGATCCATTGCCCCTTCCCCTCCCCGCCCCTTCAATCTGAGTCCGCCTATTCAACTTTAGCCCATTTCATACTGCTTTTGTCTATTATTAGCCTTCCCTTTCTCCTGCCAATTCCTAACTCAATTGAAACGGTTTGACTATCATCGGGGAAATTTGAAATAATTTTAAGCCCAAAAAAGAATTTTTCCTTGTCAGAATCTTATTCCATCCCCATAAAGGCATACGGGGATGGAATGAGGAGGTAAGACTGCAAATATTTTAATACTCCAATTACAAATATTTTAACACTCCCCTTTCCCCTTTTTTCACTTCGTTTTCCTTCTCTTCTTTCTCCTTCTCCTCATTTTCTACCTTACTTTTAAATACGGAAGTAGGCCGAGCGGTAGCACTTTCAAAACAACAGCCATTCATAGGCAAAGGGTTTTAAAAACTGCTTGAAAAGAACCTGATAGCGGGTCAGATTCCCTAATATGTGCCAGTACCAATTTACCATCGGAACGAATGAACTGATCTTAAGAAGCTTGGTTGTTCCAGTGGTGCAACTGCACCTCTACACAAGCAGTACTAGTTGCGAATGCTCCACTACAAGAATTTTACAATAATTGTGATAAAACATTTCAAAAAAAAACCCCATACCAGTGCTTTTTGCATCGCAAGAGATGCAAATTTCGTCATAAACTGGACAAGAAAATCCACAAATTTCACGAATGGTTCTCCGATACGACCAAATGCATATATCTGATGATAAGTTATCAATTTGTAGATAATCAACGAAACGCCAATTAATTCACTGTCAAGCAGACCTCTAAAACTCTTGATCTGAATAATTTTAAATATTTTTTTCGACCAAAGTTCGTGAAAGAAAGCAAAAAACAGAAATCAGCAGTATCAACACGCCGCATAATCGTTACATGCCGATCACAGCAACCACAGAAAACCGCCTTGTTTGAAGGAAAATTCGTTATTGGGATACGAAGTTATTACCAGCTTCCCCACTTTTACATAAAGAGTTACTTCTTCTAGCTCGCTACATCGCGTAGACGAGATTTTCTGGTTGATGATGTGAATTATCCGCTGGGCTACGGACAATTTGTGTAGATTATTCTTCAAATGTTCTTCATGTCTGTTCAGTTGTTAGTGCATTTTCGTCGGCCACTTCCATTCTTGACCGGCATTAATATGATCGGGCATAGAGACGACTAACACGGAAAACCCGCAAAAAGCCAGCCAAGAAGCCGCCACAAAAAAAAAGGAGAAGGAAGGTGCACCCTGTCTTGAAAGGCGGATACACAGTAGATGTACTGTCAGGCTGAAACTGGAGCAGAACAACTGGTGGTGTAGTGGTAACACACTGCATCCGGACGTGAAGGAGAGTAGTTCGATTCCCCCCTGGTCCAGAACAATTTTTGGAGGAAAGATTATGTTCACGACAACAGCTTTCTCCCACACTTCTATAGGTTCCGACTCTT